AGGAGAGGCAGATCGGATTGCTTTTGCATCGCTGGGGATAAGCCCCCCTCATGCCAACCACAGGGATACCCCTGTGTGAGCACAAGCAGGACTGCGCACACAAACCGTGACAGTGCCAGCCCTGTGCGCACAGCCTGCTAATGACCTTCCTGAGACGCGCTTCCCCCTTGGAGCTGATCTGGTGATGCCTGAGCCTAGACTGTGACATACTTTCATTAGCTGGCAGAGTTCCTCTTTGTTTAACAGGAGACGGTTTCCTGTCCTCCTGACCCCAAATGACACCTTAATCTACAAACGCCGACTTTCCCTAATTGCACCTTGACAGAGAGAGAGGCAAACCTCTCCTTCCGCCTCCAAGGACTGTCATTTAATTAACAGGCACGTATCTCTCAGGATGTACAGCCCAGCTCTAAGCTGCTACTCTCCCTGCTCAGTAACTCAGGCCTGTGAAGGCTCACTCCATTTATCTCTGCATTTTGATAACCGCATTTCTGCTAATCCCTCTCTATGCCAGCTTTCTGGATTTAGCTCTCATGGACCCATGGAAAGAGCAGTTAATCAAATGAACAGTCTCCATCTCACTTTTCATTCACTTCCCGGTTGCTGATCTCAAATGTCTGTGTTGTAGATGGCTTCATAGCAGAGCAATACCTATACTGGCACCATTACCAGTTTCTAGTTTAATCCAACTCTCATATCTGTCCTTTAATCCAACTGTCATATCAGACATGACCAGAGATAGCACACGTGGAAGAGAGAGAGAGATCAGAATCAAAGACGCTGGGGCTGGCTGTATATGAAGAAGCATTTCGTCTGTTCCTCCTTCACAAAATGGGATCATCTCTCCGCAACATGTTCTTGACATATGTTTTCTAACAGGCTTTAAAAAAAAAAAAACCAGCATTGGAGACTCCCACAAATCCCAAGCAATCCTTTCCAGTGCTTCCTGCCCTCCTGTTAGATGTCTGAGAGCAAGGGGAAGAACAATGTTGAAAGACCATTTTGCACATCTTGCCCAGATGGACATAGCTTCTGGTGCTTGGGTCCATACCATCTGTCCTGCTGGTTGTGAGGAGCAGATTCATTTTACTTTGGTTGTGGTTTTGTTTCCATGGTGGGTGAAGGGGTAGCAAATGGTGTCTATCCCTTACAACTGTTTTTGTGGAGCATGCTAGGATCTAGCAAAGTCCAAAGAAAAATAGTGTATTACTGAATGTGAGTGGCTGAGGGTCAAACCCAAGACCCCTGGATTTTGATGCATGGATCAATAGTCTCTGAGTTAACAGCTGTATTTTGAGAGCTCAGCTTGGAGATGATCTGACTATTTCAGATCAAGTACAGCTCAACTGAAGATAACAACAACAAAATGATCTGTGTTTAGGGAGCCATACGTGCAAGTCAGCACTCGTGCCCTCACCTTTGACTCCACATTGGAAAGACCAGTGCTGCCATGGGATTGCCCATGCAAATTGCCACAGATATCTCTGTCTTGGCAAATTGTTACCTAAATCCCTTAATGACTTGGTAGAGAGGAGATCACACAAAACAGCTGGGCAGTTGCTGACTAGGTGCATATACCCTGTCTGATGATAGTCAGGATCTCTGCAGATTCGGTGTCTTCTCCAGCTTTGAGACTCCAGAGTGCCACAGGAAGTGTCCTGCTGAGCACTTCCAGTGACAGGGTGTGTACACTGGCCTCCTGGACAAATGTCACTGGCTACTCAATGGACATGAGACATCCAAGGACAACCAAAGCAGGAACTCCAGGAACTGGAGAGGAGCTCTGCTTCAGCACATCTGCTATTTAGTAAATACTTTGTCTTTCAAGCCTCTGCTCCTCTGCCAGTGAAAGCAAAACTTGGGGTCAAACTGGGAGAAGGAACAATTGGAATTCATACAATTAGTGTAGGACCTACAGTATAACATTCTGCTAGCTAAGGCTGACCAGCCTGTTACCGAACAATGCACAGACGATGTGTGTGTTACATTAGCTGAAAAAAATAAGTATGGTAGAACTGAGTGCACTTAATGTCCTGCTCTTTCCCCATCACTGAGCATTTCTTAGTTGCTAAATCTTTCCTACCCACCCATAGGCTGGAAAGCAAAAGGGGAAAAGGGCTGGACTGCGGAGGAGAAGACACCGAAATGCACAGACAGCACCCTGGTATTTCAAGAACCGTTGTCACTGCCATTATCCATGGGAGGTTTTCTTCTGAACTTACAGAAGTGGAACTAAAGCCCAAGGAGGAGTAACAAGAGGCTTTGGGCCATCCTGGCAGTCAGGAGCAGAACTCTGAATCTCCGGAGCCAGCTTTGCCCAGCTGTGATCAAAGACCCTGCATGAGGCTGCAAGGTTTGGGAGAAGGATAAAGAGAGGGAGAATAGTTGTTCCACAGTGAGGAACTCACTGCAAGTCTTCTAGGGAGCTGGCATTGCTGCATCCATCACAGTCGAGCAAAGCTGTAATGAATAAGGAATTAAAGCCAGTTGCGGAGTTCCCTTTGATCAGCCCCTTCTGCTGACCTGACCTGGCCTGGCCTCTCCATGGGACAGACCAGCCTTTCGGCTAGCACTAGCGCAGCCCCCTGAAATCAGCAGGGCTGGCAAGGAGTCACTCAGAGGAGAGACCTGACCACATCGACAGCCAGGAAGCCAGAGCTCCCCGTGAAGACCTCATTTGTCACTTGGTTCAACCTAGGCAGAGAAAGAAGAGGAGGAGGCAGGGAGGAGAGTGAACAGCAGATCTCAGCTAGCCCTGCTCAGAGCTGCCCTTCCTCTCCACTGCTGACCCGGCAGCAGCAGCAGCTGGGATTGCAAAGGGTGTTGATGCACACAATACAAGAAAGTTTTACACTGGAGCGTGACAGGGGCAAAGGGCTGGCTGCATGCACATATGAGCTTTTCTAGGGAAATGTTTGAAATGTATGAAAGGCTTGCATGGTCCAGAATATCATCTCTCCTGGTTGAGCCTGGGTGGGCTGCCTGGCAGCACAGGCAGACATGCTGCACACAAGTGGAGCCATGTCCAGGCGGACACTGCTCTGAGGTGCTGGGCAAGAGAAGCCACATATAGTCATGTTAACTCATTGCATCTGTAATGCTTCCCACTTGCTTTTGAGTTCGTGGGAAAGCCAGCATGCCTGGCTCACCAAGACTGCTAGCTGTGCAGGGAGGACCATGAGACAAGGGGCTGCCCCAAGCCACGACTCTGAAATGTTCCTGGGAACAGGATGGCTGCTTGATCTTTAGCTGGAAAAAATCAAAGATCCCAGCTTAGGGCATTAAGCTTGATGGTGACATCAGTGGAGATGGAAAAGGGGCTTTTTTTCCCTTCAGAGAAGGTGGAGAAGAGAAATAGAGGCCAGACCCTTAAAAGAATTAATAAGAAAACCAAAAACCTCAAATTCGAATCTGTCTGCCCAGTTCCCCTTCAGTTCATGGCTGGCGTGGTTTGTTCTCTGCCGTGTGGGAGGATTTAGCTCCTGTTGACAGATGAGCTAATCAGTTCCCCTCAGCTCTTGAAGCTTTATCAAAGCCAGTTAATCATGTTACTGACGTCCGCCCAGGCCAGGGCTCTCCACTTCTGTCCTCTGCCAACAAGGCGACACACACGCACACCGCACACACAGAGGGATAATTTTTTCCCCACTCCCAATCACACCAGCAAGAGGATGTCCCCAGTGGCTATTGTGCCAACATGTGGGTGCTGCCCATCTCTCTTTCAGCCCTCTTTGCCACCCTTCGTTCCTGGAGACATGTGGTAGCTCCACCAGCATCTCATGGAAGAGCAGAATGATGTCTACAGGCCATCTCCTTGTCAGCACAGCAGTGGCAACAGTGGGAGGAATTGGTCTGGGTTTCGGCAGGCCCAAGTCCTGTGCTGGAAGGATGCTGAAGCCAAGAGCCATTTGAACCTGGATACCAGGGTTTGCTGTCCAGACCTCTGTCCCTGCCACTGGGTTTGTTTTACTTCTGTACTGCTGCTCTGTGGTAATGTCTGTGCTGCTTCTCCTGAGGGCTGAACTGGGGGCTGTGCTCCTTTCTCTGGAGTGGCCCTGCTCACATAAACACAAATCCACCAAGTCAAGAGGACTGCCTTGTCCTACCAAGTTTCTGGGAGGCCCCTTCTGTCTTTATATCAATGATGGAAGGACCTAGACATGAGGAGCTCTCTGGGACCCTCCTTGCTTCCTGGCAGGGTCACTTGAACTGACATTATCTGGTGGCCCATGCTTGGGTGGACACTGCTCAGGAGCACGTTTGGAGGTGGCTGATGTTCACTGAACTGTTTCGGTAACCACCGCTCTTTTAACGACCTGGCTGGTGAGTGCCTCTGCCCGTAGGTATCGTCAGCTACGTCCCCCCATCCTGCAGGCCTGCACTGGGGCTACAGATCTTGCTCTCAGGGAGACATTCTGGGGCCAGGCTGTCAGCATCTGCTTTGCTTGCTTAGTGTGGGGCAGCTTCATCCTCAGAGCTACTCTGTACCAGCAACCTGACAAGGACACCAGGCTGGGCCATGACCTGGGCTGGTTGGGATTTGCAGCTCCAGGGTGGGCCAAGGAAGAGGCAGCCACCCCTGCCCGGCAGAGAGACTGGACTGGAAAGCCAAGGAGTTGCACGTGGAGAGACCCTGCCATACTCAACCATGGGACAGTCCCTAAATTAGCTATACCAGAAAGGAAGGAGTTTCTCAAAAGCCTTACACTCCCCAGCCTCCCCCAGACTTCCCCACCCTCTTCTTGCTCTGAAGAGAGATTTGTTTCTCTCTGGGGTTGCAGCAGGTCGCTCTGCCAGCCCAGCCAAGGAGATACTCCAGGGCTGCCCAGACGAGCAGAGAGGACTTTAAAATAGGTGTCACAAAAGCAAAGAGGAGGAAAAGCTGGGGAGGCTCAATCTGAGCTCAGCTGTACCAGCTGGCCCTCCATGCCATCTCCTGCTCCTCTCTGCGGGTGAGTGGGCGGGCGATCTCGGCCGTGCCACGAGATGCGATCACCCACCTATACAGACAATGTCCATGAAGCCATACATTCCATAGCAGATCTGGAAGAGCAGGTCCTGGCGCTGCCATTTGGCCGAAGGACTGAAGGTCGACCAGATGAGCCACGAGATACTGGCGATGAGGAAGAGGGAACCCAGGATGGCCGCTGCTATCTGAACTTTCTCAATGACTGTCAGAGAGATGGCCTGCCACTGCAAGAGGAGGCAATGGAGAGAGGAGAGAGGACAAGGGGGAGGGAAGGAGGAAGGAAAAATAGAAGAGATTAGTTACATGGGGAACATTGCTGTTTTACATCATTGTGGTGATTTTGGAGATCTCAAAGAGCACCTATGACTTAAATGTGCACCCTATGCATAGATGCTTTTACCTGGTCCACATCTGGGGTGGAGCACGGCAGTTGTTCAACAGTGCACGGCCCATGTTTCCTGTCAGCACTGCTGAAGAGGAAATGGGGAGGAATCCTGCATCTCACCAGGAAAGCAGAGAGACCTGAGGGGGGCAGGACAGACTAGGGGCAAGACACCGAAAGTAACATCCCCATGACAGTAGGTCTGTGGTGGCCATCACAAACCAGGACATTCAGTTGCTACCTCAAATAGAGGCCAGGCAGCATCCTCGGCCAGGGCATCCTATTACCATGAGAAGTGTCTCAGACAGCCAAGCTTTCCTTCAGAGGCCTCCCGTGAGCTGGCTCTGTGCCACTTTGTGAGATCTGACAGGATTACAGCAGTAGGTAGGATCTCACAGTGGCAACGCACATCCCACAAAACTCGTAACAACCAACACAAGTTGCTGTGGTCAGGGCACCCTGCCTTTAGGTGATGACACGTTCAGGCTGTGTTCCAAGGTAAATGCCAATGCGCCAATAGTTCTTCCTCAGAAGAAGAAAAAAAAGAAATAACTCCCCCAAATCCTTTCACTATGTCAAATAGCTTTGTATAAGCTGCAGTATAAATATCCTAAGCCCAGATTCCTCTCTGTCATCCAGCATAAAACCTCCCCACTCAGCTTTACACTGCTGAGAGAACTGCCCTATAAAAACCAAGAGCAGAAATTGCTTTCTTTAACAAGACCTGGGGACATGGTCCATAGCCCCTCTTGCAAATCAGAAATCAAACGCGTAAACAGGCTGGGGAGAGACAGTCTATCCTGGCATCAAAGTATATAGGCCACCTTTAGCTGTGAGATGCATGCCCTTGAAATCTCAGTGGGACTGGCAGAAGGACAAATAAAGGTGGACTTCAACCTCCTGCAGGTATAGACAATTCAGAGGAATTGAAAATGTTTAGCCTGGATTCAGCCCAAATTCAGTGTCCCTGTGAAGTGGCATCTCTGGTGAGCCCTCAGCACCCTGCCCGTTTGTCAAACATATCCTGGGACAGCAGGGTCACCTGTCAAATCTTGTCCCATCCTTTTGCAGGGCAAGAAGGGAGTTCAGTTGCTGGGTCCCTCTTTAATGCCCAGGCCAGGCAGGAATTACCAATATGTGTTTTGGGAGGTAGGGAGGACTTTGAACCCTGATTGAAGGGCAAGAAGGACAACAGGTGACTTGTGCTGGTACAGGCATACCTGGCATTGCTACCAGTCCAATGACCAAACCCCTGAACCAAATGCACTCCCCTGCAAAGGGCTGCCTTTGGAGAGGAATAGACGAGAGCTTCAGCCTGAGGCTGAGGTCTGCGGGTTGCAGCTGGAAGGAGATTGCCTGGCTTGGCTCAGAGGTGAGCTGAAGTGTCTGCGTCTGCCAGCCTTGCTCCTTGGCTTACGTCCTGCAAGAGCAGACAGCCCTCAAATCATATGTCACGCATGTGCAGTATCAGTGAGGTGGGTGGTACCAGTTTATTTTGTAGTTGGCCACAGAGTAGGTGGCCATAAAGCTGCTGAACAGAAGAGAACCTGTTCCCTGCTGAGGCAGGACTGTGCTCAGCTAACCCCAGTCCCCTTCCTCCCATCCGCTCCAGCAGCTGGCCCAGCCAAAGGCAAACACCGAGCACTGGGGACACTCAGTGATCTTTTAAACAACCTGTTCCCACTCTGCCATAGCCCGACCTGCTCCACGCCTCCACCAAATCCAGACACACCAGTGGCCCCTTTGTGCCATGGAGAGGTTGAGGTAGTGAACTGCCCTCCTCTGAGGGCTGGGAGCTTGGTGGTGCCAGTCACAACGGGAGGGTCAAGGGGTGCTGGAGTCCACAGGAGATGCACAGCTGTGCCACTCCTCTCCCATCACAAAACAGAGCAAAGGCCACCTCAGAGCTGAGAGAGGGCGATAGACCTCCCAGCACACATCACCCCCAAATCTGGGTTCTGAGAGTGGAATCAGCAGCTATGCTGCCCTCCTGTCAGCTCTTCAGCTTTGTCCTCAACAGCACCATAAGCAGATGCAGGACAAATCCGCAACCGGTGCCATCAACTCAGAGCTCCGGGTCTAGAGCTCTAGACTACTGACCCTGCACATGGCGGGGGGCAGTTGGGTAAGTGCATGGCATTGCACTTTCACCCCTGCAGCTTTCCCTAGACCTCATCTCCCTTTCCACTAACTCTGGCAAACGCTGTGGGGATGGGAGTGCAGGGAGCCTGGTGCACAGCCTGGTGCTGCATGTGAAGGTTTTACTGCAGGTCCCTCATGCTGACCCATGTGTGCCTGTGCCAGCCAAATCATTCTGCATCATTTCTCTCTCGAGAGGAGGTAATGAACTGGCTCCTCACCATCTGTCTGGCACACTGCAAGTCCTGTGGTGGCAACAGGTCCTTCCAAGGCAGCAATTAAAGACAGAAAAAGAAGAAGTATCTGTTTGCTACAACTAGAAGCCACATACAACTAGCACCACTGCTTTGCAGAGACAGGGAGGCTTAGGTGTAGTACTAAATACGCTGTGAAAGGGGATGTGGTTCAGGGCACAGAGAAGTTAGTTACACCTGAGTGCGAACTTCAAACCCCACTCCCTTCAGCTGTGAACAGAGAGGCTGGAACACGGGCAGGGCCACTGCCTGATGTTGCTCAGCTGGCAGCAGCTGCTGGGAAGTTCGCTGTGGTGTTAATGAAGAGGCTGGAGTCCCTCAGCTGTGCCAGGGGGTAGGAGACTCTCCCCTGGCATCTGGCACTAAGTGACAGTGACACACACAGCAGCAGTCCTGACTCTGTTCAGGAGGTGGCACTGAGGTGTGATTACCCTCTGGCAAGGAGGTAAATGGGTCAGAGCTGAACATTGGGGAAAATAACCAGCTTGCAGAAGAATTTAATATTTTCCATGAAAAAAAAAAAGTAAGTAATAAATGTTGTATTTCCTCTCTGGCAACCCTGAGAACTGCAATTTAGCATCACACATCTAGCCCGAGTCACCAATAACCGGAGTAATTATTTTTCATCTTTTAATTCCATTTTGCTACACTTCCTAGGGTATGAGGTTTGCACAGAGAGAAGAAAAGGGGTGAGACAGAGGATAAAGCACGTTACCCAGTGAGAGTGCAGACAGAAGGGTCCAAGAGCTGTTTGGAGGTGGAACATGCTGATGAATTTCAGCTGCAGGAGCTGGGCCTGATGCATCCCTGCACCGGTGGCCTCAGGACCCCACCTTAATCACAGCACTGTGCCTTTCAGATTTCATAGCAGCCCTTAGAAAATCACCTGTTCTCCTAACCCCTCTGCACCATCATTATGGCCAGCAGACCAGGGATTTGGTGGCTGACCTTATTGTCCTCAGGTCACCACTAGAGCTGCAAAGAAAGGCCTCAGCAATGCTGCAGAGTCCCTTTACCGGCACATCTGAAACCCCCAAACCTCTTTGTTTGAATGCCTGGCTGCAGACACAGCCCCCTCCCTCTAAATCTCCAGCTTGAACATTCAAGCTCTAGCAAGGTCACAGTGTCAAGCAATCTCACCTTGCAGGGAGATACCTAAAACCAAGCCCTTCTTTCCTCAGCTGATAATGACTGTTGAGTCCCAGGTAGCTGCTGAGCTGTGAAGTGCACCTTTAACAACTGGCAGCTCACCAGGTTGTCAGTCAGGAATATGACCTTTAGACAGGTAGAAAGCTCTACAGATGCTCTGCCAGTGCTGAACAGGGCACAACTAAGGACTTGGTGGTACCAGAAAGCTTTAAAGGCTCCTGAAGGATAACAGAAGCAGCTTTGTGAGCTCTGGGGTTACAATGGCTTCAGAGCATTCCCAAGCAGCTCTGGCTACCCATGCTGTCCCTCCAGACCATTCTGAAGAAATGTCATCATTCACTCAGGAGCTGTCTGTCTGTCCTCTGCTACCATTCCCCTTGGCCGAGTGCTTTGGCACACCACCCAGATGTGCACGTGCAAAACACCATGCTCTCTTGGACTGATTTTCCCCATGTTTTCCATTTTCCCCAAATCGCAAAGCTCTGCAACCCAAATGCCTCAGAAAGGGTTTCTTAGGAGCCCAGGTCTGATATTTGCAATGACCTTAGCCAGGGGCCAAGCTGGGACCTGGTGCCTGCCAGTCATGTCACTCTTGTTCTCTTGCACTGTTTCATAACCTACGTGTTGTACTTGGGAGAAACCTGTTTCCTTGTTTGCTTCAGTGCTTCTGCTCAGAGGCTTGTGAGTGAAAACTCCCGCTGCTAATGTAACACAGATTAATAATGTCATTACTATAGTATTTAAGGCCTGATCCGTATTTCCCTTTCTTTGGCATCAGCAGTCTCCAAAGGTTCCCAAGCACCAGCATGAGCAGATCCAAGGCAGATATTTGCCTGTAGAAGATATCTCTATCTTACTGCAGCAGCTTGCAAAGAAGACTTGCTTGCTGGAAAAGCCTTCCTACGCTCCACTGAGAGCTCCCCCATGCCTGCCTCAGGCAATTCAGTTTATTTTTATTGCTGTATATCTGACACACCCCCTTAGTACGTATCATTAACAACCTGAGCTGTGCTAGTCAGCAATTTAATTTTCAGACCTAGGATCTCAAGCAAGCAGAAGTTTTTCCTAGAAGGTTGGAGTGTACCATTCCCAGCACTGCTTAAGTCTGGCTCTCCCTTCGCTGCTGTCCTGAGGCCCTGGCCAGCCTCCTCAATTATCTTTTGGAGGATGGCTTTTCTTTTTATAAATTCACCAAGCAAAGTTATGCCACCGTTGTGATAGCTTCCCTGCTGTACATTTACAGATGCTGTGGCTTATTCAGGTACTGGAAAGGCAGCAGGGAGGAAGGAGGATCCACTAG